TAATACGGTATATTAAGAGCCAGAGCTGTTGTTATTCTGCTGCAAGAAACCGTTTGAAGAATCAAACAGACTGTTCTGCGAGCGGGTAACAGGCGCTGGCAGTATGTTTTCACTCAATTTACTTTTAGAAATCGCATGGGATATCAATCAGACGATGAGGTAAGAGTTTTCTGAAGTATCAAAATGAGTCTAACCCTGGAGCCAGTTTCCGACTCGACCAGCTTAGCGTTGTATCCACCGCTTCGAAAAAGGATATGTCGTTGATAAACTGCAACTGGTATTGTTTCGTGAATTGGTACCGTGCTTTTAAAGTACTCACGGCATCGAGGCTGCGCGTTTCTCATCAACTTCAGAACATGCTCCAATCCACTCTGAGCACCTCCCAAAGCCTCCGTAACCACTTCTGGATTTATCCCGGCAATCTTCAGATCCAGCTGCATCGCTGTATAACCATGCACTGTTCCTTAACAAATTTTTTACAATAAGAGCACAGATAATGAAAGTCCCGACAACGCCTATTCATCTACCAAGATCATCAGTTCTCCACTAAACAAGATTACTGAAAATATGAGGTAACAAGGTAAAGAAAATATTCCTGACTTTTGTAAAAATGTAGTATCTCTCAATCTCCTGTGCACACTGATGAACTACCTTTTCTCGAGACTCAATTTCTGTTCAGGGCAATTAAAAATTCTTCCCACTCATGCCCTAAACGAAAATATCGCTGAAACGTGAAAACTAGCAAACCTGCCACCTTGAAGTCCATATCTCCAAAATAATCTTCCAAACCATTGATATCGGTGAGGATGCGATAGTCGCGCTGTTCATCATCCACAAACAGACCCATTGCCACACCAGCTACTGGAGCTTTCATCTGGACGCCAGCATCCAAAAGCGCCAGCGAACCGGCACAAACAGAAGCCATCGAAGATGAGCCATTTGATTCCAGTACCTAGACAATTAAATTATGAGGCACACCAAGCAACGGTGTGAACATGCGCCTAGTTCCATTGCCGGAATTTTATGAGGGCACTCAAATCACACATTTAGCTACTGGTGGCTTAAACGATGAACAGTGGAATACCCGAAGTAATGGCGTCAGCATGCATCTTTTTTGCACAATTCTTTTGCCGGAGTTTTACGCGTATGAGCCAAAAATGCACGTTAGCTTCTAAATGCGTTAGTTCGAATTCTAGCAAAATTAGGAAGCAGATATTAGAGTTTACGGCCACAACAGCACCAGGGGATTTAAATTTCTCGATCAGCCTACACAAAAAATTGAAAATTGGTGACCTAAAGGCAGGCACACATACACACACAGATATTTGCACACTCATGCGCAGATATACATGCTCGTTTTGTCAAAATGCGCCTCCACACTTACATAAACGCAAGAAACGTATAATGTCAAATACTATCTAAGTACTGCATTAAGCATATTCCTTAAAAATTATCCAGACTGGGCTTGACTGCAGCTGTACATACATACCAGTTACTAACTCTCAGCTTCAACGACCGTAGAACCAATAATTTCACGCAGATAATTCGACAAATCCTCCTCGTCAGTATGCGACTCCTAATACTACTCTATACGATAATACGCCAGGGCCGACATGTTAGACTGCACAGGCAATACCACATCCATCTAGCTTTTACACAGTTTAACCATTACAGAGATATCTAGTTTTTCTTTTTTTCGATAACTGTGTTATAATGGAAAAAAAGGAGGATGGGACAACACTCATACACTGATACGTAACTTGTTCTGCTCGTTGAAGCTTATATGACCCCAGCTAGAACCTGCATACTACTCGCCGAAGCGCGGCAGAGTTGTTTCTGTGGTTGCCAAAAGACACTGTTACATAGGCACAGCTAACGTTTGCTCTTTTGTTGCAGTAACAAAAGTCGAACAAACATCGCAAGCAAGTCTGAGGCAATAGGGGAAGTCGTTGGGAATAAGACGTTTAAGCGCTTTTTCCGCAAGGGCCCCATGGCCAAGTTCACGTCGCGTGGCTCGTCGTAACGATGAAATAGCGGTGGTGGCAAATGATGGGAAATGATAGTGCAACATGAACATTTTCTTCTGCTGCGCACCAAGCAACTGCGAGAGGGCATCCGGCTGAAAAGCTGCTGTTGGGGCATCGAATGTCACTGTGCTAAACACCTGCAATGTATACAAAACACAGTAAATGCATCTGACTGGAGTAGTATCAGATTTGGATTTCATCTTAACAAAATAATTGGCCAACGCACGGACTGCCCGCGCGAAGATGCGTTTTTTGCACAGTTCCCCGCAATTTTTGTAGCTACCGGCATCGGTTTTTTGGCAAATCCTTCCAGCTAAACAAATCAAGACTGGCCGTCAAAACTGGCAGGGAACACCCCCTTAAAATTCCAGCTCTCTAGCTTTCTTGGCTCCTGACTTAGCAATTTACTGAAAAAGATTTTTCACGAGCCCGCACTCGGGTACCACGTATACCCGATGTCTGGGTTTGAGCTACTTGGACAGGGAACATCCTCCTAAAACTACAGTCTTTTAGCTTTACAGGTTCTCCAGTTATGA